CCTGCCCCTGCTGCCCCCCCAGTGCTGCCCCAAGCCAGGCTGCTGGTGGCCACCTTGGCCCCCGCTGGCTCCTTTCCAGCCGGCTGTGACCCCCCCAGGTCCTGCCCTGGGGGCAGTTTCCATCCGCTCTGCCCCAGCTGGGGGCGCTGCCGGGAGCTGTGGTGCCCCAGGGGCAGGACCCAGCCTTTGGCCTGGTGGAACCTCATCCCGTTGCCCTCAACTCATCAATCCAAGCTGGTCAGGTCCCTCTAAAGAGCCTCCAACCCTCCAGCAGGTTAATCCTCAGTCTCCAGGATTGAGCTCAGAGCCAGGGCACAGGGTGGGGGGTGGTTGAACTGGGCCCCCATTCCTGGTTGCAGCTTTCTGTCTCTGGTGCCCTTGGGCCATTGCCCATTCCCAGCGTTGTCATTTTCGGGGTGGAAAGAGCTAAAAGCGGTGTCCGACTGTCTCCCGTAGCCGAAGAAATCGCCATCAGTTGGCCGCGGATCACCGCCTTCGCCGAATCCCACCGCAGGAGGGGCCTGGTGGCCGGTGAGTCGCCCAGTGCCGCAACAGTGGGAGCTGGGGATGGCCCAGGAGGGTGTTGGGGAAGCCTCAAACCCGTGGGTTGCTGGGGGCAGGAGGTGGAGGAGAAGCCAGACGTGGCTGCTGTGATGCCGGGGGAGATGCAGGCAACCGACTGGTGGGTTCTGGGCAGCAGGGCCAAATCCTTACCCTCTTTTTTCTCCCGCTGTAGATGGTGGGTTGTTGAGTGAGAATGAAGAGGAAGAGCCACCACCGGGTGAGCTGGAGAAAGTGGATGCTGAGGGGACGCCAGTGGGAAAGCCCAAGGGACCAAACCCCACCGGCACGGAGGGGCCCAAGCCTGGGGATGGTCCCCAAAAACTGGAGAACCAGCCCAGGAAGCCGTCGGGCAAGCGACAGGGGAAATCGGGCCACCGGGCCTTCAAGAAGTTCGCCCCGCGGAGCTTGCTGGGCCACGGCCGATGCCACGACTGCGGCAAAGCGCTGGCTTTCGGGGCGGCCTTCAACAAACGCCGGCGAGGCACCGAACGGCCCCATAAATGCCCCGAGTGCGGGAAATGCTTTCGGCTGAGCTCGACCCTCATCACCCACCAACGTCGGCATGCTGACGAGAAGCCCTACAAGTGCCCCGACTGTGGTAAGACCTTCAGTGTCGGCTCGGCCTTCATCCAACACCAGCGGGCGCATGCCGGCGCCGGCGCCACCACGGCGCCTTGCCAATGTGGTGTCTGTGGGAAGACGTTCCCAGCCAGCACCAGTTTGGTGAAGCACCAGAAGTTACACCTGGAGGAAAAACCCTACAAATGTGGTGACTGTGGGAAGGGCTTCAACTGGAATTCCCATCTGGAGCGGCATCGCCGGATCCACACCGGCGAAAAGCCCTATGCCTGCCCCGAGTGTGGGAAGAGCTTCAGCTGGAGCTCCCACCTCGACCGGCATCGCCGGACCCACGCTGTCGCCGGCGAACCCGCTTGCCGGTGCACCGACTGCGGTCGCTGCTCAGCTCCCTCTGGCACCGAAGCCTCCAAAAGCCCCAAGAAGCCCTTGCAGTGCGGCGACTGTGGGAAGGGCTTTGCCAAGAGCGCGGCGTTGGCCAAGCACCGGCGTGCCCACGCCGACGAGAAGCCCTACAAGTGTGGGGAGTGCGGGAAGGGTTTCGGGTTGAACGCCGCGTTGATGCAGCACCAACGGAGCCACGCCGCCAGCAAGCCCTATCAGTGCGGCGACTGCGGCAAGAGCTTCGCCTGGAGCTCCCATCTCGACCGGCACCGCCGCATCCACATGGGCGAGAAGCCCTACCGCTGTGGTGACTGTGGCAAGAGCTTCTCCCAGAGCTCCCACCTGGAGAGGCACCGATGCATCCATGCCAGTGCTGAGCAGCCCTGTCAATGCACCGACTGTGGCAAGAGCTTCTTGGCCTCCAACAAGCGCCAGCAGCTGCTGAGTGGTGCCAGCGAGAGACCCTCAAAGTGCACCGACTGTGGCAAGAGCTTCCTATGGGGCGCTCGCACTCGACCGGCGCTGGAGAGGACCCATAAATGCAGCGAGTGTGGGAAGAACTTCGCTTACCGGGCAGAGAACGTCAAGCACCAAGGGACACAGACCGGGGAGAAGCCCTACACCTGCCCAGAGTGCGGCAAGAGCTTCGCGCAGAATTCGGCGTTGGTGAAACATCGCCGGATGCACACCGGCGAGAAGCCCTACAAGTGTGGGGACTGTGGCAAGAGCTTTAGCGTTCGCTCCAACCTCATCAAACACCAGCGGACCCACCTTGGCGAGAAGCCCTACAAGTGTCCTGACTGCAGCAAGGGCTTCATCCAGAAATCGGACCTCACCAAGCACC